TGGATCAGTAACATCAAGATATTCAAATCTTAACATTTCATCAATATGCTTACGAAGAAAAACTTGTGCTTTTGCTTTGTCTTGTGCCAAGCAATTATTAAATTCATATATAGCATTTGAGATTCCCTTGAACTCAATATGCATTTTTACATCTATCATCCATGGCACATAGTTTTTCACACTAACTTCAAGTGCTGCAAACTCGAGCTTTGCAATGTTGAACATATTGTAACTATAAATTTTAGACAAAATAAAAGTTAAAATCCGTTTATTTCAATAAATATTACACAAAAAAGAAGCGGTAAAGCTAACATTGCATACAAGCTTAAAAGTAGTTGAAATTCCATATTATCTTCGACGTTAAGAATTGGGATGAAAAGTAATATGACTATTATAGTCATGATTATAACAAACGGATGAATCATCTTGAAGCTTAATTTCTTGTAATTGATTTATTTGATACAAGAGAGAAAAATTTGTTGTGGGTAAAATAAGCAGGGTAAAGATGTTTATTTATGGTACAAAAATATAGCCGTTGTTTTTGTTGTTTATAACCGTTGCATATATATTCCTGTTGTGTATATATGTATATGTATTTTATAAATCATGTAATAAGACTTATAACTAATACATAACTTTACTAATTAGAAACATAAATAAATATTAGTAAATGTTTAAATAAAATTATGAAGAGTATCTAAAATATAAATAAACATTGACATGTATAAATACATATAATTTAAATGTTAGTATGTACAAATAAAAGTTAGTAGCATAATATAAATGTTAGTATGCATAAATAAAAGTTAGTTGCATAATGTAAATGTGAGTTTGCATAAATAAAAATTAGTTGCATAATGTAAATGTTAGTATAAAGAAATGTTAATATAAGAAATAAAAATTGTTAGTAGTCCATAATGTATAAGTTTCATTAATTCATTAGTATTATTATTTTAATATGATTGAGGTTTTTATAATTAATAGTGTTTTTACTTAGTAATACATACCTTGACTAAGATAAATGTGATTTTCCACTTTTTTAGTAACCTTGATTAGAGCTTTCGTATTAATAACGTGTTATAAATTAAGCGTAATTAATGTAACAAACTACTAAACTTTGATAATAACTTTAATTGAGAAGAAATAATATTTAGAGAGAATATGAAAGTTATATCTCTTATAATTTTTGGTGTATTTCATTCTTTACAATGGAGGAGTATTCATACTACAAATTTTACTAACATATAATTGTAATTAGTTAAGAATATTGACAAATTTACCATGCACCAATTATTATGTTATCCATCAATTATTTACAACGCCACCAATTATTTAATATATATATATATATATATATATATATATATATATATATATATATATATATATATATATATATATATATATATATATATATATATATATATATATATATATATATATATATATATCCCATCCCTTATGGGGAACAAAGAGGTACAAGTGAACCTTCTAGCTAGTGCTAGAAGTCCAAGGTATCCATATGTTTTTCTGTTTATTATTTAAAACTTAAATGGTTGGAGAGATGCGACTTCAGTGTTCTTTTCTACTTTTTCTACAACCCAATGATTATGGATGTAAAAGCAAGAAAATAGAAACATCAAGAAGTTGGTGGAAAAAAGCAAGGAAAAATGATGCTACAACCAAATCATAGTAGAGTTATTCTAATAATAACCGAATCACATAAGAATTTTTTCGAAAAGCCAAATATCTCTAGCCCGTCAAATTGAGCCAATTAAGCAACATGTCGCATACCATTTTCTAGTATTTTCACTATTTTGCTTACTATTTTTTTTTATTTTTTTTTGGATATGCAACACTTTTAAGTAGGTATGCTATTCAGGTCAGAACCAAACCGAAATGATCCGAACCCGAATAAACCGTAAACCGAATAAGGGTAATTGCATGAACCGAAAACCGAACCGATTAACTAGTACGGGTTCCGTTCGGTTCAGGTATTAAGCGGTTTGATTCAGTTATTACCCGATCCGAATAACAGTTACAAGATGATTAAGGACCTAATATAACCGAAAAAAACCGAATAAACCGTATTAGGATTCTATAACCCGAATAATAGAATTACAATGTACTTTTATACATCAACGTTAAATATTCAAAGACTAACATAACACAATAATAAATTGAAAAAATAGCATTTACATAGTATATTAATATAATAAGAATTTAGAGTAAATTACTGAAACGGTCCCTATGGTTTGGTCAAAATTACACATTTGGTTCCTAACTTTTTTTTTCACTCGGATCGTCCATGTGGTTTGATTTTGTTGCGTTTTTAGTCCCTTAGATACATAAAGTTAGGGACCAAACTTGCAATTTTGACCAAACCATAGGAACAAAAAACGCAATAAAATCAAACCAAAGAGACGATCCGAGTGAAAAAAAATAGTTATGGACCAAAAGTGCAATTTTGACTAAATCATAGGGACGATTTCAGTAATTTACTCTAAAAATTAATTTCTTACTTGAGTTTCTTGAGTTGGAGCCTAATTTTTCATGACTAGACAAAGTAGAAATTTGTGAATCCTTAGATACAATAGGAAGAATCGATTTTTGAAAGTCTTAAACAAGATGAAGGATCGACAGAAGTAATTCCGAGTTTGGATATAGTTGAAAAGATTGTTCAATTTTGAAATGACGAGAATGAACGTAGAGTTTTTTTTTTTTTTTTTTTTTTTTTTTTTTTTTTTTTTTTATGAATAACGATGACAGAAGTGTGAATCGTGATTTTGATTTCTATCGATAAGAGAAAAGGGACGAGGAATGCTTATTCGGATCCGATATTTAGAACCAAATAAGCTCTTATTTTGGTAACCTGGACCAAATAATTTAAGAACCGAATAAGCATAATATAGATACCCGAATCGAATTGCTTATTCAGGCCTAATTCGGTTCGGTTCGGCTCGGGTTTCCAAGCCAAATTCTCATCCCTAGTTTTAAGGATCTTCTTTTGCTAAAATTAGAGTTAAAAAAAATAATAATCTTTTCTTTAAAGAGAATGAAGAGAGGAAAATGATTTTGATTTTCTAAGTTATTTAGTAAGAATGACAATTCCCATGTCTTATCTATTTCATACGTTGGTTTTATTTATATATACTATGTTATTTAAAAATCACTTTATGTATTAAAAATATGAGTAATGATTATAAAAAGGAAAATTGATTTACCAGGGTAGTCATTTTTGTCATTTTGTTTATATTTAAACAACTTTTTTTATACACATTTGATCATTTAACTTGTTATATGTATTCACATATTACCATTACAATGGTAATATGTGAATACATATAACAAGTTAAATGATCAAATGTGTATAAAAAAAATTCTAATGTGAACAAAACGAAAAGTTAATTACCTTGATAAATTATTTTCCCCATGTTTAATAGTTATTTTATTTTCATATTTGTTTGTATTATTTTTGTCAAATCTTATTTTTAAAGTATCAATAATATCCTAAATATTAATTAAATATTGATCAATTCCAGATTTTACTTTTTAACTAATGAATATCCTTTTGTTTTGTGAAATATTTTATATAGCCTCTTATATATATATATATATATATATATATATATATATATAATATATATATATATATATATGTTTTGTTTTTTAACATATACAATATTTTTAAAGTAAATGGTATCCAACAATAAAATTAAATAAATTAAATATGTAACAATAAGTATGGAGGGTCTTTTAAAAAAATAAAAAGAAAACATTACATAACAAATAAAAAAACAAAAAAAAATTATATAATGTAAATGTTTTAAGATTGTTACAACTTTTTAATTAGAAGTTTATAAACCTTTAATTTTTTTAATACAACATTTTAACCTAGTATTTAACGAAAGTATTTTAAAATGTTATAAAAAAAATATTAAGTTGTCATACAAAATCTGAGAAACATTTTAAAAATATTGTGAAAGAAAGTTTAGAAATAATTGTATGAAAGTCATTAAAAAATTGTATGAAAATGTATTAAAAAAGGTTAAAAACTTGTAAGAAAATTCTGAAAATTTTGGTTTAAAAGACTTGTATTAAAATTATATGAAAGTATAAAAGAAAAGTCAAAACAAATTATAAGCAAAGTTTAAAACATTATATTAGAAAAACCTATAGAAAAAAAATTATAAAAATGTAGTAAAAAATTATAAAAAACCTTATAAAATTTGTAATAAAAAAAGTGCTCACATTTAGACAATTTTTTTACATATTTGATCATTTAACTCGTTAAAAGTGTTCACATATTACCATTGTCACATGTTATATATATTATCATCCTTACATGTTATAATAGGTAATAATAGTAATACATGAACGCATTTAATTAGTTAAATAGTCAAATATGGAAAAAAAAAATGTTTAAACATAAACATGACTAAAAGATAATTATCCTGACAAGTCATTTTCTCTTATAAAAACTACCATGCCACATAGATACCGTGTTAGCTTTTTGTTACACAACTATTATTGTGTTGCCTTTTGTTACATATAACTATTATTGTATGTATGTGTATAAAAAGATTCTAACACTATGTTTACTCATATAGCTAGATGGTTGGTTGGTGAGCAAATAGAAAATAAAAAAATTATGAAAATGCAAAGAATAAGAACTCCACTCTTAAAACTAAGAAATCTTGATGCACAAAGTTCGTTTTTCTTTTTTAGATTTTTCCTGAAAATACAAAGAATAAGTGAAGATTCTATAGAAAGAGCATTTCTACTTGTAACACCAATAGCATCAAATAGAGAACTTTATGCCACCAACTAATAATAATGATGTAAGATGAAAAAGGTCAACCAAAATACAAAAAGAATCATTTTAAAACCTCAAAAAAATTCAACGGCATTTTAGAGCACATAAATATAACTCAAAAAAAAAAAAAAAAAAAACATGGATGAAATCATAATTATAATTTAGCAAAAAATAAATAGTAGTATTAAGCAGCAGAAGAAGACGCTTGAAATCCTTGCACAAATTGCTTCAACCTGTCAGCTTCACCAATTGCAGAAAACCAATCATTCAAAATCTCGATTGTAATGTAATCTGGATTACAAGCTTGAGTTGTCATCTGATTCATAAGCCTTTCAGCATCTTTCAGCCTATTTCTACTTGAAATCCCTTTCAGCATCGCATTATATGTTGTAGTATTTGGTGCAACACCTTTCTCTAACATCCCATCCATTAATGAAAGAGCATGATCGACTTTCCCACATTTGCAAAGAGAATCAATCAAGATATTATATATGACATTATTAGGAACAACTTTTGATGTTCTAATCATTTCCTCAAAAAGATTCAAACCCTCATCAAGATTCCCAGCCAAGCAATGCCCATGGATGAGAGTACCATACGTCACTACTGTAGGGGCATTTCCGTCTTTTACCATTTGTTTCAAGAACTTATGAGCAGTTCCAAAGTCACCATTTTGGGTGAAGTAGGAAATTAGAGTATTGTAGGTGACAGAATCAGGTTTGATCTTGGAATCTTCCATGTCTTTAAGAATCTCAACTGCTTTGTCAAGTTTCTTTTTTCTACAAAATCCACCGATTAAAGTGTTGTAGGTTAAAAGATCCGGTAAAAATCCAGATTTTTTCATTTTTGAAGCAATAAAAGCAGCATCATCTGGTCTTCCAGCTAGAGTCAAACCAGAAATTAAACTATAGTAAGCAAGTGCATCAGGAGACCCTAAAGACTCCATCTCATCAAACAGTCTCATTGCTCTATCCATGTTATTCACATTGCAAAAAGCAGAAATCAATGTAGAATAAGTAACTGCGTTTCCTTTTATACCCTTTTCTTCTTGCATTTTTCTAAAGAACTCCATCGCGTTACTGATTCTTCCGTTTTTACACATTCCATCTACCAGAGTGTTCATTGTAATCACATTTGGAGCAACGTTCTCTTTGTCCATTTGATCAAAAAGCTCGTGTGCACGTTCGATTTCACCTGATTTACAAAACCCGTCTATCAAACAGTTGTAGGTTACAACATTTGGAGCACAGTTGTGTTCTGATTTCATTTGTTCCATTAACAAGAAACCTTCTGCTTGCCTACCCACTTTGCATAAACCATCGATTACAGTGTTGTAGAGAATCACATCTGGTTTTATGGAGATTCCATCACTTCCTTCCTTCATCTTTTTAAGCATATCTAACGCATCATCTACCCTATGGGCTTTGCACAGGTGATTCACTAACATCCCGAAGGTGACAATATCTGGCTTTATGTTATTCTCCTTCATCTCATTCAATACAAGATTTATCCTCTTGTAGTTTCGCTCTCTTGACAACCCTGATAAAAGTGCATTACATGGTCCAGCTTCAAGTTTGCCAAACTTTATTAGCTCATGCAACAAGTCCCAAGCTTTATCATTTCTGTGACTCCTGCATAACCTAGTGATTAATTGAGTTAACCAAACATTACAGGGAAACACACCATGTATCCCAAATTTTGGGATCAAACCAAGGATTTTTTCATCCTCTTTCCCACAATTCCATCGAAGCAACACAGAAAAGACAACGCTTAATGTAGTCTCGTTGGGGGGAAACTTAGTATCTGATTGAAGCATTTCATCGAGCAGCTTGTGTGCATCCTCAAATCTGTTAGATTTCAACAACAAACCCAGTAATGTGTTTTTCACGTTGGTGTTCTTCGCATGTGGTTCTAATTCATTATACAATTCCAGAGATTCTTGAACCTTTTTGACATGAAAAAAGTATCTGATTAACAGGATTGCTGAGTTGGAGGTGAGGGGGACCTTTAGTTCCTTGGAAAGGTTGAATAAATCAACAAGGGGAACTGAATCTTCTTCACGCATTGCTAGCTCGATAACAGTTTGGAATATTGAAGGTAGCGGTAGTTGAGAAAGAGACGGAGATTGGTTGTCATGAATGAAATGGAAAAATTTAAGAGCTTTATTTGAAGTTTCGAGGTGACGAGCGATTTTGATGAGAGATTGAGGGGGCAGAGAGAGGAGTTGGTAGTGGAGATTGGTGTTGCTTGTCCAATCCTCGGTGATCTTCAGCTGGGTAATAGCGGTTTCCGTCAATTCTTCTTGTGAAGGTGGTTGCGTTGAATCAGGTGCAACGGAGAGGCGGCGGAGATGGGTGGTCGTGAAATATTTATGGGGTTTAAGAAGGCGATGAACGTATCGTTTCGATGCGGAGATTGGTGTCTTCATTGTTGTGGATCAAACTGAAAATACTGTCAAATAATAAATATTTGGGTGTCAATTCTTCAATTGTCCCATAAAAGGCAAAGCTCGAGTGTGATGATATCATCAAATCTATTGGTCTAAACTCTAAACCCTTAAACTTTGATACTTCACAAGATACAAGTTCGTTTTATTTCGGTAGTTTATTGATAAACAGTTTGTTATTTTTCCAAAAATTCGATCATAATACAAATGCAAATTGCAAAGGATGACAATTCAAACTTGGTTATAAGGACGGTTTTTGAAAGTGATCCTTGAACTCTAAAAATGTTTTGTGACAAAAGTATTTATTGACTTAGTAGGTGTAAAATTCTTATATTACACACCTTGATTAAACAAAATAAAATATTAAAATATAAATAATAACTATTTGTAAAATAAATTTTTTAAATAAAGAATGTAGAAACAATTAATTGCAATTTATTATAATATTTATTAAATTTGATACTTTACATATATAAATATAAGATTATATGATTTTTTAATTTTTAAAATTGGAAAAAAATCATAAACTGACATGTGGATATTATTTATTTAAAAAATATCACAAAATGATAAGTATCAAAACTCATTAAAAATCGACATGTAACAAAAAAAATATTTATTTATTAGAGAAGATAATGATAATATTTTTAAAAATTCTTTGGATTAATTTTTATGGTGAAAAAATTAATAAGTCAACAAGTTAAAAAATATTTTGTTCAAAAACTTATTTTTAAAATAATTTTGGTTAAAAATATCAAAAACAGTTTGAAAAAAACAAGTTTTACATGATTTTTAAAATCAGTTTTTTCAAGTTAATAAAAAACTCTTGTGGCCATGGAGGTTCCTGTAGTGACTTCAGGGCATGAGACAAAACCTCATGTTTGCCGTTGGTGATTAATCGATGCGCGGAAGCTGGCCCGTAAACCCTCGCTAAGGAAGTTCCATTTCAAAAAAAAAAGTTAACAAAAACTATTCTAAAAAATGTTTTTGAGTTTGTAAACTTTTTTATTTTAATTTATTTGCTTTTCAAAAACCCAATAAACCAATAAATTGTTTTGAAAACCAATCCCAAACACCCCTCAAGAATCAACTTGCTTTTCAAAAGTTTTATCTAGTAACTTTCTTTTACTAATTAAGTCATCAATATTTTACTTTTTCGTTCTAACTCTTTGATAATTTTATACAATAGTTAATATTTATACAAAAATTTAATTTTGACGTTGTGTTATTTATTGTTTTAAATTGGACACGGGACACTCCGTTTACCAATTAGTTACAATTCTCATCATTTGACATGTCGACTAGGTTGTTTGTTGACATGACATTATTTGGTAACATCGTATTCTAGGTGTCAAAAATGTAATAACTTTTATGATAGTTATTCAAAATATAGTGTTTAGAAAAAATCAAGATAACAAATGTATCCAAAATAATTTTTCGGGTAAAAATATTTTTCTCTAGTTTATAAAGTTTGTTAAACTCTATTTTTTATACGAGCTTTGAATATTTATTTTAAGGGTTGTCTTCAACTATATATCACAATGCATTGGCTTATATATATATATATATATATATATATATATATATATATATATATATATATATATATATATATATATATATATATATATATATATATATATATATATATATATATATATATATATATATATATATATATATATATATATATACCACATTAAAGCTTAGAAATTGCCTTCAACCTTTTTAGATACCTTTTTAGATGGGTCAAAATTACAACTTATATCTTATAAGTTTTAACAAGGAAATAAACATTGTTTGTAAATCTACTTTAATAAATGAAGGTTTTTTTGTCAAATGTCCTCTTTTCCTTCATTTGGACACATGATATTTTCTAAAATTTTTAAATTTTCTATTTTCTACTTGTCATTTTATTGTATTTTTCATTTATTAAATTAAAATTCTACATTTAATATGTAAGGTATTTATTAGAAAGAGTTTATATATGTAATGTATTCAATACATTAAAGCCACATTAATTTTAATAATTCAAAATTTTTCTCATGTTTCTTATAAATTCAAAATTTTCAAATTGTTAAAATTTAATATATTTTTTTTAATTAAACCCATGTAATACATGAATCTTACACCTAGTGTGTAATATAATTGGATATTTAGTATAATTAGATGTCGTGTCATAGTAAATATTTGATTGGTAATATAACCACTTTCAAATTTCAATTAATATAGGGACGATATATATATATATATATATATATATATATATATATATATATATATATATATATATATATATATATATATATATATATATATATATAAATAGTTGTCAATGACTAACTTATAAGTTTTGAATAGTTATTTTGAATAGTTACCAAAGGGCTTGTAGCCCAGCGGTATCAAGTAGTGCCCTCAGTCTTTGAGGTCGAGGGTTCAAGTCTCGTCGTGCACATAGGTATAATAGATGTTGTTAGCTTAGGAGTATATTAGATTTGTCGGTTCAAAAAAACAATTATTTTGAATAGATGATTAATCACTAACGATATTTTCCTATTTGTAAATGATAATCTTTTTAGAATTTAATATAAGTCGAAGATAAATATGTTAAATTTTAATTGTTAGAAAATGCATGACATGATAACATCTTTAAGGTTGAAGGCATTTTCTATCTTCCTACACATTTACAAACAATACAAAAATGGTCCTTGTAGTTTCTTATTTTATATGGTTATGATCCAAACTTTTGAAAAATTGCAGATATGGTCCTTTTCAACAAGTTTTGTTGTGGTTTTGGTTCTTCATTCGTTAGTTGGCTGTTAACTTCCTTCAAATGATAATTTTACCTCCAGGGACCATTTTCGCAACTTTGTCTTTTACCATACTATAAGGACCATTTTTGCATAGATTATTTTTTATTTTATTGAAATATTATATATTAATACCACGACTAGAAATCCACCTTTTATAATACCACGACTTCTTTTAATACCTAACTTCTTTTTGCTTTTAACATATTTAGAACATGAAGCTTGATTTGGGTCATATTGTGCCTTACTTGGCCTTCCTCTCTTCTTTGGTGTCTTTAGAATTGGTTCCTGCTTATCATACATATCGCCTGATGCTTGAGTGTGTTCATATTGTTCCTTCCTTGGCCTTCCTTTCTTCTTTAAAGGAATATGAACTGGTTCCCTGGTTGCATTCTTGCATCCATTCTGGTTATGGCCATACTCAAAGCACTTACGCCACCTTTCAGTTCTTGTGGTTTGAAATCTTCCTATACCAAATTTTCCTTCATTTTCACTTATATGTCTCCTTCTATTGACCTTTGGTTTACCACGCATTCTCCTTTAACACTAGTGGTAGGGGCTTTACGAAGTCAGTTTAAGGCTATAGATTTGAACCATTCACTAGACTAATGTTAACAACATAACACTTAAGGAATTTATCCTTGGAAAACATATCACCATACTCATCAAGTGTTTGTTATATATAGTTGATGGTTACAATGACATGAACACATGGGATCCCAACTAGATCCCATAATATGCGGTTACAATTCCTTCCATCCAAATCCACCAAGTAGCTACCTCTCCTTGCTTCAAACACATATTGTTGACTATGTATTATATATCAGAACCTACATCCACAAGTTCAACGTTAGTATGTTAACGTGTTACCTCATGAAATTGAAACAAAAGTTACATGTTAGAATGTTACCTCATGTTCTTTCAAGAAAGCTTCATCTTCTCTAACACTATTGGACATATACAAGTATTCCATTTAGTACCTTCCTCAATGATGTGAGCAAACATATCCATGATGTATATCCTTATTTCTTCAAGCATTGTGATCAATGTTTTTTTCCTAGCATCCACAATGATTTTCTTTGCCAATCAGTAGCATGGTACACTTGTGCTCTGATTTCATCTATCATACTAGAATTTCGTAGGTTTTCATCATTTAATTAAACATTTAGGAAGATATCCTTACAATTATCAAGTGAGGTCACACATTTTTCCTCTGGTTCGTGGTCCATGTAAATGTTATGGAGCTCAAAATTCATTTCATTCAAGCCAAGAAATGGCTCATGTATGCCATCAAAAGGGTCAACTTACCCTTCGTATGGTGAAGCCATTACACCCTCTTGTAGAAACATAATAATTTTAAGAACCCATTGCAAGAAATGTTGAATGTAAACATATAAAGATCATGACCTGTAAAAACCTTACATTTCGAAGAACAATTTTACCCTAATCTTCTCCAAGAAAACCCTCTTTTCTAAAGTTTTTTTCTATGTATACATAATTTCCGTCGACACTATGCAAAAAGGTGAAAAGTGATTGGGATATAGAGGGAGGATGGGGATGCAACATTTAATGCCCCTAACGGAGTTGGGGTTTTCTCCCAAATGACGTTCATGAGCTTCCAACTAAGCAAATGGTAACCGACTATTAAAGGGAACCGATTAATAGGTAAAAACGCAACACTTAATTCAAGTTTAAGGCAAAAAAATGGACACAATTTTGAACTTTGGGTAAACCCGACAATTTTGTGCAAACTTGAAGGTTTTTATGGCATTAACCCTTTTGATAACTTATTAAACTTCAAATTAATTTTTGCGTAAGTTGAATTTTTTAAGTTGATGGGTCAAAATAAGTCGGGGATAAACCCAAAATCTAAAGGGGGAGGAGATTCGATTCCCCACATCCATCGGCGACGGGTCGATGTTAGGGACTTGGGGATAGAGACATAGATGGCCAACCTCAACCCATGTCGATCCCTAACAAAATTCACATAATTATTTGTTACCACCGCGTTGTGTCTGCTGCCACAAACCTCTATCGCTCTCTTACAGGGGCCAAGAATTGTTTTTGATGGGGGCAATTCCGTTTCAGTTTTTCCATATTTTCCGAAGCCACCAAATTATTTATTTGATGCAAATTTTAGTATTTAACATTCTTTTTTACTAAAAAAAATTA